CCTCTCCCCCCCCCCCCCCCCCCAGTCTCTTCTCCTGCACAACACAGGGAAACTTGATTGAAATAAAGACCCAAGAGAACATGGTTTATTTTCCTCTCTTCAATCCATTTTAGAAAAGCTTTTTAATTGGTTTTAAAAAGATGCTAAACAAAACACAATGTTTTTCAGTCTTCTTGAACTAGTAATAGATACCACTATTTAAGGTTTGCTCAGAGGAACTAGGAATCACGAGCTGTGACTGGGAATTTAAAGCAAACTCAGAGATGTGTCTAGTTCCTTTAAAGTCTTACGTGTTTACTCCCAAAATTTCTGCATTGTACAAAGAAGGCAGAAAGCCCAGAAAACAAGGAGCTTGGAGTATTTGCACTTCCCACACTAAATTAAAGTAATATAGGCACAATAGGAAAAAGGAGAATCTGGGAGGTAGTTTTCATGAGCCAATTTAACAGAGATATATAGCTCAATGCATAATAATGATATATCATCACACAAACGCTCCTCTTATATACATATCCCACAGTAATTGTAGGAAGCTGTTTGCACATAAAGTATACTCACTGCAAGTGCCGTGACAGCACTATGTGAATACGTAATCTGGGCCACTGAGATGGCAGCAGCGTAGCTGTACTGCTGAGAAGCACACTCCGCTTCCCATTCATTCCTTGCTTGCAGTTTCAACTGCTTTGTAATTCCTGTTTCTAAACTTTTCAAATTAGTTGTGTTGTTCACATTTGGGGCCATTCAGACTAATATGGGCCTATCTGATAGCAACGGCAAACAGATATTGTCTCCGCAGCAACCGGACAACAAATTTTCTCAGCATTGGGACATGTCTGGTATGAGCCAGGACACTCCAGTTTTACAAGGAATGAACTTGAACCATGACCTCAGTCCAGGGCAGATTTCATGTCACTTTGACCTCATGCAGCAGGTAAGTAATACTGATGCTACTCATGTACATTCAAGGTATGTATTTGCATCTCAACTTACATCCAAAACTGCTGAAACCAACCAAAATCTCCAAAAAAAAAAAAAAAAAAAAAAAAAAAAAAAAGCTCCCCAAGGGAACTAGTCATCTCACAAGGAACTTGGAAGAGCAACGATTAACCAGCAATTTTATCTGCCTCGTGGGTTTCTCACTTTAACTTAAAACCCTAAGAGTCTTCATGCCCAGATTCAAACTCTTTCAGGGTAAAGGTTCATAGCGGAAAAGCCTTGGCCTTTTTCTTCATGAAACCTCTACTTTCACAGTTTTTTTTTCTTTTTTTAATGAAAAAAATTCCCCACATGCCATGATTGTCACAAGAAGCTGATAAGAAACAAATATACTAGACTGTGTCATAAGAACCCCATCATCAGAATCTCCCAGTCATATCAAACCAAAGGGTCCACCTAACCCAATGCCCTAATTTCTACAGTAGCTGATAATGGACATCTAGCAAAAAAATTTAACATCAGTCAAACAGTGACATTTCCTAAGAAAACTCTCACTCTCTCTCTCTACCCTCCAACAATTTATAGCTTAAGTCACCATAATATTGGCTGTCAACCCAAAGTCTTCCAGCCTCAAGGGCATTTCAAACATTGGAAAGTATGAATCTCTAAAAACATGCATAAACTTGGCAAATATCTGAGATCTTCAAGTCCTGCATCCTGCTTTCACGGAGACTCGGCTACCAACAGAAGTGCAACATAATCTCAGAGGATGCAATAAATAAATGGACAACTTATGATATTAAGTTCCCTGGACTACCGAAGCAAAATAAGTTCCAATTTCCCTTCCTGATTTATGGGAACAATCATTTGCTGATATTGTGGAAATATCCAGCAATAAATCAATGATTACATGAGATTATGACTATCAAAAATGGTTGTGCTGTTACACACTGCCCATCTCTCTGTTCCAACTTATGCGATAGCAGAATCCAAGCTTTATATTAGAGGCTTCACATACCATAAACAGTTCACAGGGAAAAGTGTTTTTTCTCCCAGGTTGACAGTCACATGGAGAACTTCAGGGCCTGTGATGTTACAATTCATTTCAAAGTTCTAGATTTGAAAGGTCTTTTCACCAAACTCTCTAATGAAAACAATACTCTTGCATATGTTACTCTGTTTTCAAGGTATTAAAATTTACAAAGAACTGAGTTCATCCAGGCTGTGTTTCTCTGCTTTTTCCTGACACCAACCTTCAAGGTTTTCCTGTTGGCATGGTTTTTATTTATATAGACATTTTCAAAGACATAAGAGAATTCCAATGAACAAACAGGAAGAATTTGAAAAGAGAGTCCCTCCCTGTTCGTCTCATTCAGTGAAGACTCAGAAAAATTATCATTTGTGATGTTTTTAAAACTCATCAAGTCAGAAAGTGCAAACAGACAGGACGAGCAAGAGATGTAAGATCTTGAGCTTTTCATTTTTATTAATGCCTGATAGATAATTTCAAGTTAAGAAAAAACTAAAATCCTACTATCCAGGATCATGTATTAGTCAGAAATACCTTCTAAACAAGGGAGGGAGCAACATGCTTGAGCCAGGGACTGGCTTGGACTGAACTGTTCCTTAGTTAAATCAGAAAGCACACTGTTGGCATGTTTAAGTTTCACCTGGTGAAGGTTAAACCCGTTTACTTAATCAGTATTTCTAGGCTAACTCCAGAAGATCAGCCTTAAATAATTAGATGATTAAAGTTGAATCCTTCAGTTAGGTATCCTAGAAATACCTAACTGAATGATCAGCAGCAGGCTAGGATTAACTTGACTGAATCAGAGACAATAGCACTAACAGCACTGGCAGCACAGCAGCTATCATCAAGACACAAAGCCCTCCATTGCCAAAACTATTACAGGAATACAGCATCTTACTCCTCGATTACCTTCTTACCTGTGGGGGGGCCTTCTTTAGCAGTACAAGAAGGGCTTGCAACACCAGATTAGAGAACCGTGGTCCGATAGGGACATAATCTGAAATGAAAAATGTACTTTAATGCCCATTAAAATTATACACATTTAAGCCACGTAACTACATCAAAAAGCAGTTCAAGGCTCCTGTGACAAACGCTTCCAGATCACTTCTGGTTTGCACTACTACTGCATGGCCAACACAGCTCCCATCATTCTAACTCACCTAGAAGTCTCTCAATGTCATCCACTACAACACAGCTGAGCTGGGATTTGTATGCATCATCAAAGATCTAGAAAACAGTAAAATGCTTCATTGTAGTTTTACTTTCAAGATTTAACAATAGTCATGATAAGGACTTGTTGACTCATTTTTAACTAAACTCAGCAGTAGTCAGAAGAATAAACAGGGAATGAAAAAATCAGTACCAAGCGACTAGACTCTACCTGCATTTAATAACAGACCTCAAAAAATTCAGAGCTCATTTTTGTTCATTTACTCTAGACGTACTGCAGTAAAGCTAGCTGCCTCTGTGTTTAATTGCAAGCAACGGACAAAATAGAGCACCATTCCTCTGTTTTCTGGAGCTGGGGCAATACTGTGAGTATAACACACACACAACAAACCCACAATCGCAATGCAATTATGAAGATTTATATCCAAGTTGGTTATTCTTCATAACAGTGGACCGGAGGGAGAAAAGACCTACTCAGGTATTGATTAAGCCTCCATATCACCCTTTATAGAGCAGCAAAACAGTGCACTGTAAACCTTTGGGTTTGGACAGTGAGTGGCACTAAGGATGTCAGTGGTATTGCAGGCCCACCTCCAGTGTACCTTGAATTCAAGCAAAGTCCAAAAGGCTCCTTTGTGAATCTAAATTACAAATTGGGCTTCCAGCTATGAGCACATTGCTTTTCTTGGAAACTATGCAGTCTTGCAATGAATTATCCCTTTGTTCTTAGAATAATATATTTTGTTTACCTGCCGAATTCAGTATAATTCAGCTGCAATAAGTGTTAGCTTGCTCCTGTAAATGACACTCCTTAAGATCTCCTTCCAGCTGACAACTTTAAATGATTTAAGAAGTGCAACTTATTTGTAAATTTCTTTTTTTTTCTTATAACTCTTGTTTAACCATTACCACCTCAGAATGGATTCTAGTTTCAAGATCTGTTCTTGCTAAGTGCAAACATAAGTCCTTTCTGCCTTCATCTTTGCAGACAGAGCTCCAAACTTGCTAATTGCAGATCAGGTGTTTTGTCAAACTCTCAGTCCTGATTATACATCAGACCCAACTGGGCAGACCCTTGAAATTTTCCGTTCCAGAGCTGATTGCTATGTGACACACCACCCTGAAACAGCATTCAGAGATCTCATTAAATCTCATCAATTAGGACAAAGCAAAAGAGCATTTTTTGACAACAGATGAGGGCAAAAGCTTGTGAGCTTTAAATTCTTATATGCTACCTTCAGCAAGATCCTTGCCTTCCTTTGGGTCTATTCTGTCAGGCTCCCCAAAAATACCCAAAACAACTGTCCTTTCTATCTAAAGAACTCCCTTTAATCATTCAATTCTTGGAAAACAATTATCAAAACAGCTATTTAACTCAGCTGGAACCTGCTGGTAGCCTCTTCTCAGAACAACAAAACAGATGCCACTTCTTGCTTTCTGTCCAGTTTAGCAGTACACAGCAGTAACCAGAACACTCTGTATTCATTTATTAGCAGGCCATTAATTAGGAAAATAACTCCCAAATATACATAATAAACATTTCTATGTGAACATAAAAGGAATCACCATGGACCACAAGCAGTATCAAAAAGCCACAGATCAGTTTTCCTGCATCCAGAAGGATCTGCGATATTAGCAATTCTGCCACAGAGATTCATCTAAAAGGATTTTTACTGGATTAAACATAAATAGATGCTTGGTGCAGAATCTAATGTATTTTGACATCACATTCAATTGAGTTTACTCTTCTAGAATTAGGCAGCACTTTCATTGAGTGTTTGGGTGGACTAGTGCATTATTACAGAAAGCTCTCAGAAGCTAGGGACACAGCTTTAATATGATACTGTTTTACACAACATGATTTATCAATTCACGTTTTTCTACAAGATCCATGCAGTGATACGCAGAGAGGTGGTTCTCAGAGAACAGCTATTTTATTTAACATTCACTGATCAGTGTTTACTGGGTTTCCCAAAAGGATTCCTAAAGAAACTAAGCATCATGGGATAAGAGTCATGCTCAGTATCAGTGCTATGACAACAATTCACTCAACTTTCTAAACAAATGCATGTATAGGAATTTAGGACCTACAGAGAGGAGAAAATACAGTCACAATGGAAAATCACTTTACAGTCCATCAGAGAACATGGAATTGGATTATAACCAAACAAATCAGTAGAACGCTTAAGTACCTTCTTCATAGCTTGGCACTTGGCTGTTTCAGAAAATCCAATCATCTTATCAGGAGAACAGATTTTGATAAAGGGAAAGTTGGATTCTTCTGCTATCTTTGCTGCTAAGGCAGTCTTCCCACTGTGGGGGGGACCTGGAACAAAGGACAAACACAGTCAATAAACAAATGAGAAAATAGAGCTGGTAAGGCTCAGCATGGAAGATACTTTAAACATTTATAATCCCATTCACAGGCATCTGCATTTTGAAATGACTTTTTCTTCTACTCACAGAAGGCACACACTAATTCCTAGTGCAATCCAGCCCTCCAGATGAAGGAAATTAATGCAACTTATCTGAGCACGTGCAGACTAATTTGCCAAGAAACCAAGAAGAAAGATAATGTTAATACATTTTGCAGATCTGGCCACTGCTGAGAAATTAATATCTGTTGGTATTTTGGCAAGTCTTTTTAAACAGGCTTATGCCCCTTCTGCATATGATTTCTGTAGGTACTGTGGTAAACAAGCCAACTGCACAAATGCTAAGTAAATATTGACAAACACACAATTTATAAATTGCCTAAAATCATACCACAATAATTCAAACAGAAACCAAAGATGCAGCTTAATCTATACATCTAATGCAAACAAACTCCAAGTGCAATAGGGTATTGCATGCTAGCAATATATTGACCACAAACACAGACAATTATTCAAGGGAGCTATTCAGGGTTCAATTTCAAAGCAACAGACTCTGAAGTAATGGTAGCAATCCACATTTAGGGAATTCAGGAAAAGAAAGAAAGAGATCAGTAAATAACATATCCTACCCCAGTATCTATAGTATTGAAGTTTGGACTAATTTCCTAGACTCTTTATAGTCAATAACAGTCTATAGGGCAATTCACCTCTGGTCTAACAGTGGACACCTGCACATGGCCAGATGAACTGTCATTTGGACTCAGTGAATTTCCCTGATGAGCTCTCCAGTGACTTCAAAGAGAATCTAGACAATTAACTCGGCTAGAGATGCTTCCACTGTGAAACATCCACCCTTAGATTATTAACTGGGTGCATTCAGTCCTCTACTGTTCTAAGAATGGCATTTGGATATCCCCATAAATCTCAGGCTGAGAATCCAGTTTTAATATGAGAAGCAATTTAACTCAAGAATATTGACAGAGACTAATTCTATTTTTCCTCCCACATGTTACTTTTACATGCAGTTACAGGATATAACAGATCACCACTTGGGGTAACTGTTAGGAATAGTTTGCAGAAGCCATTTGTTTTTTAAAACTCATAGTTTTCCCAAATTTACCTTCTAGAAGAACGCTAACCAGTGGAGTACGGTCACTGTTCTTAGTTTGTTGAACAAGCAGCTCCCCATCATCCAATACCCTTGTTACAGGATCACCCCACTTAATAATACCATTCATGATATAACTTGCATAGTCTTCCTGGTTGGTTCCAAATGCCTGTATTTTAAAAGAGAGGGAACATTCATTTTACTCAGGAATTTTGCTCAAAAAACATGAAACAAACATCATCAAAGTGACCAGGACCAAGATTCTGGAAGATGTTTTAACTAAGTGAGGCAGTCGGTAATAAACACTCACTGGTGATACAGAACATTTCAGTTCAAAGGACTGAACGCTGCTAAGGACTATTCATATTTAGCAATGTCTTTCCATATAGTGTCAGCACAAATTCTAATCAATGCAAATTACTAATGAGTTCTGCATTCACACCATTTAAAGATAGTTCTCAAAAATTAGAGGCTTAAACCTCCAATTAAGATCTTAATCTGTCCTTGGTTAATTGAAGTAACCCAAAAGGGAGAGAGTATATACAGCAGAGAGAAGGAACTCTGATTTGCTCTCTTTATCCTATTCCTCTTTATGATTCTTGAGCCCAACAAAAGATACAAAATGGAGCCTTACCACTGCAGGCTGAAAGAGGCTCTCCACTTTCATTCCCACTACACAGAATGCAGTACCCAAACCCACAATGCACCATCGCACATCTGATCACAGAGAGAAGGTAATAGCTTGTGTCATTAACAACCCTGAGTGGCCCAACTCTATTACAGGGGTTATATAGGTCCTACTCACTGGTTTGATATCATTCTCCAAAGATGCAAAGAAGTCTCCTCTTGTCACACGCAAGCTTTCTGCCTTCTCCATATCCACTTCCACTTTGTTGCTGGCCTAACAAAGGCAATAAAACACAGTGAAGTACAGCACCGCAACACATGACCCCTTACCAACTTCCATGCAAGGATCCAGCTCTGTAGCTGTCTGCATCAATAAGAAAAATGGGTCTGCATCAATACCAAAAAAATGGTTCTTGACAAGACAGTTGTTAGACACATGCTTGGGTACCTCTGAAGCAACAACATGTTCACAGAACCACTGCCATGCGCTGGCCCCCACAAAGTCTGTAAGTATCAACTGTTGCACTCAAAGTTGAGGTGAAGAGTATGGCCATGATCCCACTCTTCAAAGTAGCCGCTCCAGCTAAGAGCGGGATGGAGGCTCTGCACCATCCCTGTTGATGCTGCTCTGCCTTTACCTAAATAAATCAAGTATCAGCAAGGCAGAGACTGGAGCACAGTGTGGGATTGATCTCATTCACTTAAGTTTAGATTTCTAAAAGTTATTGGAGTTATGAAGGTTTCCATTAGAGTCAGCGGAGAGTGACAAACTGTAGAAATACTCTTCATTATGTATTCTGGCCGCTGGATGGGAAGGGGATGATGCATCCTTCTTTTTGTGACTTTTCACAGAACGATAAAGTTTGGTTCAGCCCAACTTCAAATTTCCCTACTCCACTTCTGGCCATTGAGCCAAAAATAAGAACTATGCACAGAGCCCTATCTCAGGAGATCTTAGATGTCTATTCAAATCATGCACTACTTCTTCCTATAAGAACAGTCTTTCAGGGGATTGGTAAATATTAGATTTCTTTCTGCTTGGCCTTTATTTGTTTCAGATCAACCACATTCACGACTCTTCTCAAAGTGACACTACCAATATTACTCAGAATAAATAAGCAGCAGTTAGCTCAACTCAGATTGCTCTCCTTTCAAAATGAGAGGGGTCACCTTTTTCCCTCCTGCCATGCCCAAATTGCCCAGCAACATTTAAAATCTAATGACTGGGAGCAAATATACAGCTGACAGAGCACTACAGCAATCTTCTCTTGTAAATTGTTCCTCAGTCACAACTAGAGGTACTGCTGGGAGACGGTAGAAAACTGCTCACACTGGAGCCAAAAGAGATTTTAAATTCTTGAAAACAACTTGAAAGTAAGTAGCCTTTGCAGCTGTAGGCTTTTATTCAGATGTCTTACTGAGTATGGCTGCAGCTCTGCAATATGGAACAGCTCCATTTACTAGGATTATTTGTAGATGTTCAAGTATCTTGATTGCCTTGGGCAGCAATCAGGAATTAAATGGATTTGAAATAACTTTTCCACTCAATGGCATATGTACACTGGCTATTACACACTAATCCTAAGGGGGCAAGCTGCTGAGGATCCTGGGTGGAGTTACAGATACCAGAAAAAGGATTAGTCATAAAAGGGGACAGAAGTTGATCTGTGGAAAGCAAATCATCAACCTGTAAAGTGGTAAGGCAGAAACCTATTTTTTAAAGCAACATGGAGACGAGGCAAGAGATTTTTTTTTCTACCAGTCACAGTGCAGCCTTGAAAGGCTTTTATTAATTTTTCTATATCCCTGTTATTCCACATGAAATTTCTCCAGTTTCCGGAACACGTATAATTTTCATTGAAATTTACCCTAGTCTAACAATACGTTATGCTTCTACGTGA